TTACCAAGGAGGATAGAAGGAGAATTGATGCCTTTGAGATGTGGTGCTGGAGAAGAGTATTGAGAATATCATGGACTGCTAGGAAAACAAATAGATTTGTCCTGGAAAGTGTTAAACCGGATGGCTCCTTGGAGGCAAGGATTCTGAGGCTCCATCTAACATACTTCGGACATGTTGTGAGGAGAGACCGGTCCTTGGAGAGGGACATCATGTTTGGGAGGGTGGAGGGACAGCGCAGGAGAGGAAGGCCCTCTATGAGGTGGATTGATTCAGTGACTGGATAATTGGGATGGGAGTGTCAGAGACAGTGCGATTGGCACAGGACAGAGTGGAGTTTAGGGCTGTTGTACATAGGGTCGCTATGAGTCGCAGGCGACTCGATGGCACATAACAACAACAGGTTTAACTAATAAACTCAGTAGTTGTGAGTAAAAGAAAAAAAAAGAGGTACAAAGAACACAAATACAAGCAGTACCTGAGTCACAAGGGAAATGTGTTCCTTACTGTGTCTTTTAAGTCTTTAAGTGAAATTGTAGGTGGTTTGAACAGGTGCATATGGTTTTTATTTGGTCTTACTTTATTGCAAGAAAAAGCTCATAGATTTTTCAATGATTAAGTTACATATGCAGCAAATGAAGGTAACTGCAATGAAGACTTGGCTGTGAGTAGCAGTTGGTTCAATCATTTGAAAATGAGGGCAAATTTACACAACTTTAAACGGCTAGTATGAGTTCTCTATTAGACATCCATAACCTGATGAGTTCCTGAACTGAACGGAAAGGGAAAACAACAACTATAAAACAGAATGGAAGGATTAAACAATAGATTTATTCAGGCAAAAGGAACACTCAGCAAGTTAGAGTATAAGATATAAACATTACAGAGATTGAAGAGCTGGAAAATGGCAGCTCAATGATGTTAAGAATATTCTTCTACAAGTCTTTTGTGGATACGTTTTCATTTTATGACAGTGCATGTGCTACTTGTAGTGCAGGTATATCCTTAAAATGATAAGAAATTGAGAAAGTGTTCTAAAGTGATTGTAACATATTTTGTGCTATGTGTTGTGTGTCAGTGTTCTCTTTAATTGAGCTTTGTTTGTTCAATTTCCAACCCAAGAGCTCTTGGTTTGAATCTACGTGGGAGAAAGAAGGGCAATTTCCAGTGCTGCTTACCTCCTCTGAAAACCCACTGGAGGGTCAGCTATGAGTGGGCTTCGACTCAACGGCAGATAACCATCACAATTCCTTCTCATTTTTACTGAGTAATTGCTCACCTTCTCTTTCACACTGATGGTTTTAAGTAGAGCATCTGTCTGACAGGTAAAAAAGCCTTTATACTCCATGTCACTCTGCTGTTTTGCCTCAGGATGATGCAAAGACACGGGTTTGGTTCCAGATGTAAAGAATCTTTTCTGTAGTGTTCCCATTAGTCTGGTTTGGTTCTGCTTTCAACTATAAACCATTTAATTTCAGCTCACATTTTCTCTCATTCTGCCAAGGACCATCTATTATAACCCCAGTTTCAAGTTCTGATCTCAGGTAAATGAGGCGTGTTTCTTCTTTGAGCTTTTCATGACTTTCTTATTGTCTTGTTCCTGCCTAACACACAATAGTAGTGTTTTCTTCAATAGCTTCTTGAAAAGTTCTTAAGACCTCAGATGCCACCCACTTCAGTTGGATGCTGATTATTGTTTTGTGAACTAAAGTTATGCCAATAGGATAAACGTAGCTTTCAAATCTAGAAAACCAAGCTTAGAAGGACCTGCTTTGTGTCTGTATTACCTGTGTTTGTGCCTTTAATAAGTATATATGCCTGCATCCCCAGATGTGTTCTCACACACACATTCACTTCTTCAGGAGTCTGTCTGAGACACAGGGAGAATTTCTGATAACCCAAAGGGGTTACCAATCTGATGTGCAACCTCTGCTGGAGGGTTGGTTATGAGTTTATTCTGACAAGAGAACAGTAAGGGAATGGATAAGCAACAGACACTTCTCTGATGGCATAGTGCTTTACACGTAGAGCTGTTAACTGAAAGGTCATTGATTCAAATCTACTAGCAGCACCAAGGGAGAAGTATGGGCTGTCTCCTCTCATAGACTGACAGCCTCAGAAACCTGACAGACAATGGCTACTCTGAGTTGGGATGGAAACAAGTGCCGTGGGCTTGGTGGCTGCAAGCATTTCTAGCCGACTTGACCTATGTACATGCTTGGACCTACCTGTACACCAATGTCTGTGTTCAGCTCAAACATGAGTTTTTAACTTTGGTTACTACCATACTCACTAAGTTCACATTTGGCATCACTTGTCCCAGATCAGAATCAATAAATCAGTAACAACTCTCGATGCATAACTCTCCACTGTCCACATCAAGAAACCATTCTGGTATCTGATACCCCAGTGGCACAGGTTCAGCATCACAGCAAACCTAGACTACCTCAGTACAGCAAACTGACAAGGAGTGATGTACACAGCAGAAGAATGCTCCTCCAAAAGACAGCAAACTAGTCTCACTTAGCAGTGGTTAACACAGCAACCCTGTGAATAAAAGACCTGAACTCTGTTCTATAATTAATGCTATTTCTTTATGTTTATGGAGTTTATGGAGTTTCCAGAGGCATCTGACATAGGAAGTGGAAGCCACTCCTTCTTTCAAACCTGAATCAATCTGGAAGCTCCTCCAAATAGTATCCATGATGGGTAGCCACCATGGCATTTGACACAGCTATGCCATAGTGATTGACAGCAAATAGACAAACGACTGCTGTACCACTTAAAGAATGTTCACTCTCATATTAATAAACCAAACATCATCAAAGAATGTAGCTTTCTATATTGACTGCATTACCAATAACCCAAGCCAAACACAGACCAATGCAGAGCAAGACTTTGCTTACGTGACCCCCATTACGCCAGGAGAAACAGGACTTCTATAATGGAGCCACAGCAGCCTCCATGGCAGCCGCAGACTTCCCCCATCACTGGTCTGCCTAAATATATATGTCTTCTTCTAAAAACGGTTGTCACGGCTATTATGTTAACTCAAAACCAACCCATTATTGACCCTCCAGGGTTTCCGAGGTAGTCCCATGGGAAGAGACTGTCCATCATTTTCCTGCAGAGCTGCTTGTGGATTCAAACTGCATATCTCTGAGTTATTAGCACAATTCCTTCTCACTAAAGCCACCAGGGCTCCCTTCGTACAACAGGTTGGCATTTCCTCTTGTTGGCTTCAGAATTTCCTATCTTTGGTTTTCCATAATTTCACCTGAATGTAGCACAGGGTCATCCTTAATGTATCTTTTCTAATGGTGGTTTGAGGAGCACCGTTCTACCTTATTTTGCATCTTTGGTACTCTGCTCTGGGAAATTCTCTTTGATTGCTTCCTGGAAAAGAACTTCCTATGCCTTTAATGTTGCCATGCTAATCTGAAGCAACAATATTCTAGTGTTAGATTTCTTAACTGAACTCTGTATTTGTTTTTAGGCTCCTCTTCTTAGTTTTTAGTTCTTCTTTTTGAGACCTGAGAAGCCAAACGTTGTCCTATCTAGTTCACTTAGTTTACCTTCTAATTCTCTTGCTGAGTGTCCTCTCTTCCTCTCACAACTTCAGTTAGTTACTTTATTCTTCTTTCTGGTAGCTCCTTTTTCATTATTCTTTTAATTCCTTTGTTGACTCTCTCATTTTGAGCCTCCATTTGTCCCTGATCTCAGTCAGCTTGTTTTCTAAGGGTGTTTAGTGTTTCTTTAAACATATTTAGCAGCATAGTCTCCAAATTATCAATTACTTAAATTACTCTGCCTTCTATAGGAGACATTTCTTCATCTTTTGCTTTAAACTAGTCCTCCTGTATTGTTTATTATCTTGTTGTTGTTGTTGTTAAATGTGGATCATTTTGTTTTCTTTTACTCTAAATTTTGTACTCTGGTTTTGATGAGAAAAATCTCCTGATTTATGCCCAACTGCTGCGGTAGCCAGGAAAAGTCCGAATCAGCTGTTCGGTGGGAGAAACAAGCAGGATCCTCCTGGACAAAGATTCACACCCTGTGTTGTGTCTGCTCCACTTCTGGTTCTGGAGAAGCCCTGACTTCAAACACCCCAGCTGCCATCTGAGTTGTGAGATACCAGACTGTATGTATTTTGATTGGTTATTCAGTTCGTTAACTACTGCATCTGAATGAGAGTTTCCACTCACTTCTCCATCATCATTTGCCTTCTAGCTTTATTTGTCAATGATTCAATTGATATAAAAACCTTACTTCACTAATAATGATAGGTTTCAAATGTGCAAAATAAAGTGTTCTTTAAAAAAAAAAAAGGCTGCCTAAAGTCCCAGCTTTATAATGGAGATATTTTAATACCAAGTAACCATCATATGCTACAGCTGTCAAAAAAATTTGATGAACCAGAAAAGCATGTGGTCAATATAAAACAAAATCCACAAATCATGTTTTTAGTTTCAGGGCAAAGTATCATGAGTCTAGGGAAATCTAGCACCAGAGGGGATGTGGACACACTGCTGTTACTGTTATCAGTCACCAAAGGACACACAGCATAGACACACGATCCACCTGGCACAAATCTCTAATTCTGCCCATTGGGGCCCTGTTCCAGGCCACAGTGGAATACACTGGAGCCTGAGCCAGGTGAATGTGCAAGCATGCCGGCCCCTCCGGCCCTCATATATGCAAAGCTGCGGCTGTAGGGCCAAGTACATGTGCCTTAGTTTCCTTTAGCTTTTCCAGTGCTCCTTGCAATACCATCCCTCACTGGCAGCTTCTCAGCCTCACTCCCACTCCCAGCTTCTCTTTCTAATTTTTCACAAGAATTTTTTTTTTTAAAAAAAGTGTTATTCCTAATCTTCCTTTACCTCTATCAAAAGCAAAAAGAATGCTGATTTTTCCTTAGGATTGTCAAATATCTTTCTCCAGATTTTTGTAAACAGTAAAAGTTAATGCCCAAGAGAGGCTGAGAAAACGGTTTTGTCCCTTACCTTGGCTTTCCCATCCTGTGACGACATGTATCCAACACACATGCTCTCCGTTGTGTGGCTCCACAGAAACTCCACTGCCATAGAAGGGAACACAAATAAGCACATTCAGATCACGGTCAGAAAAGAAATCTTTGCATTTTAATACAACAGTTACAGAGTTGTGTATTTAACATGCTCATTTTCTCACTTTTCATTGGCTGGCCCCTTCATAAATGTCAAGATGATTTTGTACTCTAACCTGGGAAATGGCACTTATGTGTAATTTAAAAAAATGATTTCTTTCTTATCAAAACTTACAATTATTACATGTTAAATAAACGTCCATCTATGTGAACCTTGTAACATTAAACACATTATTGTACAAATGATTTAGTAAATATAAGAATCTAGAGTATAGTTTACACACACCCACACACACACCCACACACACACACACCCACCCACCCACCCTTGGATTCCAGATATCATTTTTCAAAAAGGGAGTAAGACTCAAGAAGAACTTTATTATTATTATTTCATGATTTTTTTTTGTGAGTATACCGTCAAATCAAATCTGACTGGTACAGGAGGAGATTGTTCCTCCTTCCCCGGCAGAGCATCTGGTGGATTCAAACCGTGCGCCTCTGGGATTATAGTTGCAGCTCCTTGCCACTAGGCCACCAGAGCTCCCCTAAGAAGAACTTTCAATTACAGGATTAGAGCATAGAAAAATGAAAAACATCTTAAGCTGTAAAGTAAATGAACACCTAAAGAATGATAGGAACTTATCAAAAAGAGCAGAGGATCAGTGGAAAGGGTTCCCACTGGCCAAAAGAGGGTTAATCTGAACTTCATCTGCATAATACAAGTTGCTGAAGAGTTTTCCTCCAATCCTGATGCCATATTATTCTTCATAAAGCCCAGTTTCTGGACTGAATTCCTCAGCAAACAGATTTGACTAGGCAGTGAGAAAACATATAGTCCTAATATAATAATTTTTTTTAAAAAAAATTATTTTGTACTGGTTTACTTTCAAAGTTCATATACATTGTTTTTCACACCAGATCTTTCCCATTTCCTTTACCACCCCTCCAGCCATCCATCAAATTTTGAGTTTATTAACCACCCCCATCCCTTTGAATCCTCATACACATTCTACAATAATGATCTTATCCAGTATTTGTCATTATAGGACTGAGTTAGTTCACTTAGCATAATGCTCTCCAGTCCCTTACAAATTAGGTAGTAATTTACAAAATCAGTGCTGCCGCATGCTGCTTAATATTCCATTATATGAATATATCATAATTTGTCAATCCATTTGATTGTGGTTGGACATTTGAGCTGTTTCCATGTTCTTGCAATAGTAACACTGCTATGAACCTTGGTGTACAAGTCTCCATTTGTGCCTCTCAGTTCTCATTTCTTTGGGTATACGTCAAGCAGTGGAATAGATGGGTCATGTGGAATTTCTATGTTCAGCTTTCTGAGGAAACGCAAATTGCGTTCCACAGTGGTTATACCATTTTACAATCCCACCAACCGTATGTAAGAATGCCTATCTTATCACATCCTCTCCAACATTTACTACTTGCTGTCCTGTTAAACTTTGCCACTGCTACTGGAGTGAGATGGCATCTCACTGAGGTTTTGATTTACATCTCTTTAATTGCCAGTGATTTTGAGCATTTCTTCATGTGTCTGTTGGCCATCTGAGTATCTTCCTCCATGTCTTTTGCCCATTTTGTAATTGTGTTATCAGTCTTTTGTTTGTGGAGGACCTGTAGGATTCTGTAAATTTTCCTTTATAACCCACTAGTAGAGAGAGTTATTCAGTTTCCACATGGTTGGTTTTGTAAGCTTTACCATTCTGTGGTTAACTACTAGTTTTATGGCATTGTGATCTGAGAATATACTTTGTATTATTTCAATGCTTTTGAATTTGATGAGGCTTGCTTTGTGTCCTAATATGAGATCGATTCTGGAGAATGTACCATGTGCACTTGAGAAGAAAGTGAATTGTGTTTTAGTTGGGTGCAGTACCCTGAATACACCCACAAGGTCAAGTTCACTGATTGTAGAGTTTAGCTTTTCTGATACTTTGTTAAGTTTCTTTTGAGTTGATCTATCTTTTGGCAATAGTGGTGTGCTTAAGTCTCCTACCACTACTGCGGTGCTGTCTACTTCTTTTTTCAATTCTGTTAACCGTTGTTTAATGTATTTTGTAGGTCTATCATTTGCTGCAAAAGGTCAAGGACTACAGGCTTCAATATGGGTTGAAGCTCAACATCAAGAAGACAAAGATTCTCACCACTGAGCCAATTAGCAGCACCATAATAGATGGAGAAGAGATTGAAGTTGTCAGCAATTACAGCTTGCTCAGATCCACAACAACACTCTTAACACCACTAGTCGGGAAATCAAAAGATGAGTTGCATTGGGAAAATCTGCTGTCATGGACTTTGCCAGAGTGCTGAAGAGCAACGATGTTAGTCTAGATACAAAGGTAGGCCTAATCCAGGCCATGGTCTTCTCAATTACTGTTAATGCTTCAGAGAGTAAGACAATGACTAAGGATGACAGAAGAAGAATAGATGCCTTAGAGTTGTGGTGCTGGAGAAGAGTCTTGAACATATCATGGACTGCCAAGAAAACAAATAGTCTGTCTTAGAGAGAGTGAAATCAAGTATCTCCTTGGAGGCAAGTATTCTGAAGCTCTGCCTCACTTACTTTGGGCATGTGGTCAGGAGAGATTGGTCCTTGGAGAAGAACATCATGCTTGGAAGGGTGGACGGACAACACAGAGGAGGGGGAGAACGTAGATGAGATGGCTTGATACAATAACTGGGGCAATGGGGGTTGGTGTGTCAGAATTAGTGACACTGGCTCAGGATAGGGAAGAGATCAGAGCTGGTATACATAGGGTCATTATATATTGCAGGCAAATCAATGGCATATAACAACAATAACATACTATGACAGGTTTGGAAGCAGGAGTGGCATCCACTTCCTAAATAACATGCTTCTGCAAACTCTATGAACTTTGATAAATGTCAATAGTTATAGAAGAGGCTGAAGCCTTTTGTACATAGGGTCTCTGAGTTGTGCTTACCTTGAAGGCAATCAACAACATCATTTGATGCGTAAAATGCTGATCAAATCTTTTTTTTATCTTCTGTACCTTTAATCAGTCTGTAATGTCCTTATTTTTTATGGTGGTTTTCATTCTGAGGCCTATTTTAATAGGTATTCCCACCCTGCTTTATTGTGAATTCCATTTGCTAGGTATATTTTTTCCCAGCCTTTGATTTTGAGTCTGTCTTTCTATATTTTAGATGTGTTTCTTATAGGCAACATATTGAAGGGCTTTGTTTTTTTGTTGTTGTGTTGTTTTGGTTTTGTTTTTTTTAAAATCCAATCTGCTATTCTCTGTTTCTCTTAATTGATACATTTAGTGGCCAGGTTTTACTTTTGCCATTTTGCCATGTTTCTTTTTCTTGCTGTTTCTAGTTACTAGGGTCCATGCACTCTCCTTTGGTGTTTCAGTGTGAAGAACTTCACTTAAAATTTCATGTTGTTTTAGTCTTGTTTTCACAAACACCTTAAATTCCTTCTTTTTGGCAAATTACCTAATTACCCCTTCAAATTTGATAGAGAGCTTTCCTGTATATAGGATCCTTGGCTGGCAATTGTTCTCTTTCAACTTTTTATATATGACATCCCACTGTCTTCTAGCTCACATGGTTTCTGCTGAGAAATCAGAACTTAATCTAATTGTTTCCCCTTTGTAGGTGACTCTTTGTTTTTCTCATGATACTTTTAGTATTCTATCCTTCTCTTTTAATTTGGAGACTTTGACTATAATATGTCTTGAGGTTTTCCTTTTTGGATCTAGTCTATTTAGTGTGGGTTGAGCTTCTTGAATGTGGATTTTCTCATTTTTCTACCAGGGAATTTTCTTCTAGTACTTCTTCCACAATTTTCCCTGTGACTTCCTGGAATTCCAATCATACACATGTTGTTCCTTTTGATGTCATCCCACATGATTCTAATGTTTTCTTCATTTTCTTTATGTCTCATCTCTAATTTTTCTTCTAGTATGTTTCCAGTGAGGTTCTTGTTTTCCAGCTCAGTGACTCTCTGTTCCACCTCTTCAGGTCTAATTTTTTGTCCCATCAGTCTGTTGGACATTTCTGCCATTTCTGTCTTAATATTCTAGATTGCATTTTCATGCTTTTCTGTTATTTCCAGTACTGTCTTTGTTGTGCCCTCTCTGTCTTGTGATGATTTTTTTAAGTTCTAGTACCCTAGTACCTTTTTACCTATACTACAAATTCTTTTTTTTTTGCATTTTCTTCCATAGCTCCTCATCAGTATGGTTTTGTGGTTGTTTTTTTTTGTTGTTTGTTTTGTTTCTTTTGGTTTTTTTTTCTGGATTGGTATCTCTGGGGTATTTGCTCTCTTAAGGACTTCTATTGTTTCTTCCATCATTTGCAACTTCTTCTGTAGCTGTTCAAACAAAACTCCACATCAGATATATTTCTTCTGGTTCTCTCTAGCTGAAGTATTCATTGGGTCTGCCTTTTTAGGTTTTGTTTTTTCATGATGACTGAGGCAGACTGCTGCTTTCTTGACATTATGTGAATCATTTCTTAGTAGATACTAGGTCCTTGTAACTATATAATGACCTAGAGTATGGCAATGTTTTGTGAAGAACCTGTATATTGGTGCTCCCCTCTTTGGAAGAACAGCCATCCAGGAGTGGGATGACTGTTGCTCTCCTGCAACAGTGCCTCCACTTGGCCTTTTCTACTTCAGCTTAAGAAGTCCCATATGATAAACCTAGACAGCAGTGTTTCACCCAAAGTACCTGTGATATTGGTGCTCCTGGTACTGGAAAGAAGGGGCAGCAGTATTATCTATAATTTATTATGACCTATACTTATAATTAACTTTGCATAATCAATAAAACAAAAGTAAACACTTTTCTGTTATTTTCTGCTTTAAACCAGGGACCATCTGACATCAGCAATGATATCTCTCATTCTACATCCTCTTCTGAATCCTTCAAATTCTGGCAGTTCCTTATTAATGT